TATTATTCCAATAAATCTTGTAAAATAATGAACTACAAAATTAAGATCCGACTTCGGTACTATTTCCTGCCATGACACTGAAGAGAGGGGTTCTACGGGAGACTCGGTCTTTCATGTTCATGTGCAAAAAACTACATTTAAAAGTAGGCTTGGGGGGCACTGAAAATGAACTATCTGCATATATACATCCTGCCACCCAATTTACAACAGCACTAGCATAACCCAAGAAGTTGTTGTCTGGCTGTCTTCTCAAGAATCTAGAATGAATGAATATTTAAAGTTTCAAAATGAACAACAGTGTTCCAAAAACTGAGGAATGGGAGAACATTCAGGAACCCATGTTATGTACCATGTCATAACACAGCACCTATGTCAAGTGCTCATGTGATATCACCACAAATAAAAATTTAGAACTCACTACATGTCAAACATTTCTGTAGCAGTTCCAGCATTAAGGCCTCTAGCCAACTTTACAGAAACAAGTTTGCTTAAAGGATAATTTAAGTATACATCAGAATACTAACCTGTATACCAAAGCAAGTATGTTTAGCATAGTGGCAACATCAGGATGGTCATGACCTGAAGTCTTCTCCAGATCTTCAAGTGCTTGTTTACAGAGAGGTACAGCTACCTCATATCTACCTTGGGAAGCATACTGAATAACCAAATTATGAAGAGTCCTCAATCTTGCCGGAATTTCGTAGCCACCTTGCTGAGCAGCTGCTGCCGCACTGCTATGCTGCTGCTGGACTGCAAAAAGAAAGCAACTTTTTGAAACCACTTCAAAAGAAAAAATCATGCTCCCTAGATACTAGACACTAAAATTAATCTTTACTCTGTAATTCTGTTCTGAAATGTAAGGGTAAAAAACAGCACTCCTATAAAGTGCAAATCTTTTCCCTGTCAGTAATCCAACTGACATACCCATTTATCCAAATGGCCTGGTGAAACTTTTGGAAAATTGGAATTTGGGATAAACAAAAGTATTACTTTGAGCTCTTTTCACCAATTTAGAAATACAGGAGCAAAGGGAGTAATACTGATGTTTGCTTAATACTTTAAAGAGTAATAAACAATGTTAATGTGATTGAGTTAAACAATAAACCAATAAATAGCTTTGTATCTGTGGAATGCTTAATAGCTGCTAAGAAGCTAACTGAGAAATTAGAAAGTTATTAACATAGGGCTATTTGGGGGACCTACTGTGGGTTTGGATAACTGTGATTTGTGGATAAAGATAATTCAGATAATCTAATACAGTATATTTCCAGTTATGAACAAATATACATTTTTACTACTTTTTACTCTTATTAGCCCTGTGAGCCAGTAAAAGCAATGAAGAGAGAAGTAAGTTCTATTCTGATTCACACGGTGACTGAATTATTATTAAAGCTCAAATTTCAGGATCAACTTCTGCCCTCAGTTACATCAACTAAGGATTGAAGTTCCTCAGGTGGAAGAAAAGGAGAAGACACGCAACACCAGCCAGCCACAGTGACTAGAGTTAGTCCAGAGAAAAGCAACAAAAATGATTAAACGTCTAGAAAACATGACCTATGAGGGAAGACTGAAGGAATCAGGTTTATTTGATCTGGAAAAAGAGAAGACCAAGACAGGATATCGTAACAGCTTTCAAGTACCTAAAAGGTTCTTACAAAGAGGAGAGAGAAAAATTGTTCTCCTTAACCTCTAATGAAAGGACAAGATGGACTTAAACTGCAACAAGGGAGATTTAGGTTGGACATTAGAAAAAACTTCCTGTCAGGGTGGTTAACCACTGGAATAAATTGCCTCAGGAGCTTGTAGAATCTCCATCTTTGGAGATCTTTCGGAGCAGATTACAGAAGCACCTGTCAGGGATGGTCTAGATCGGAGCTACTCAACACGCATAACCCACGATGCAGTCCGAGTTTACGCAGAGCTGTAGGGCGAGGTCTCCACCTGTCAGCACCCCCTTCCTGTCAGGGTGGTTAACCACTGGAATAAATTGCCTCAGGAGCTTGTAGAATCTCCATCTTTGGAGATCTTTCGGAGCAGATTACAGAAGCACCTGTCAGGGATGGTCTAGATCGGAGCTACTCAACACGCATAACCCACGATGCAGTCCGAGTTTACGCAGAGCTGTAGGGCGAGGTCTCCACCTGTCAGCACCCCCCCCCCCCCTCCCCGGCCCCCCCCCCAGCCGCTATCCTGATATGCAGGTGCGGCCTGTGGCCTCCTGCGGTAGCACCTTCCTGCGAGCGGAGCTACGCTGGCTCTTGCCGTGGGGCACCACACTGAGCTGGGCCACCAGTCGGCACATGTGCATGAGCCACCAGCCGGCGAGGGGGCAGAGACGGCAAGAGGTGACGGCACAGCCAGGTAAGAGGAGAGGTGGCGGAGCTAGGTAGTGAGGCTGGGATAAGAAAGGTCTGCGCTGGGGCTCAAGCTGGGTCAGGGTGCTGGGGTCCATTCAGGCTTGGTCCCTCTCCACCACCGGTGTTAAAGAGGGGGAGGGAAGCGCAGTGTCAGGCCAGGCTGTGCTGGGCTGAGGACCCAGTGTCCATTTTATTCTGGGTGAACCCCGGGGAGAACCATGCAGTGGCAGGAGCCTACTCTATTGTGTCCCCCTGCCCTCACCCAGGCTGCTGTGCTCTGCTTCACTGTTACTGTGGAGTGGAGCCAGCTGTTGGGTCACATCACTCACTATGCTGGCAGGAGCAGGAGAGGGCTAATTTCTCTTGTTACCCCCAGCCAGGTCCCTTGGTAATCCTTTGGGCTGCCCTAGGCCCTGTGGGTCCCTTCCAAAAGCTATTGGCATATATATTTGTGATGCTGTTGCAAAAAAAGCAAATATGATTCTGGCATGATTCTGGGATGCATTAACAGGTGTGTTGTGAGCAAGACACGAGAAGTCATTCTTCCGCTCTACTCTGCGCTGGTTAAGCCTCAGTTGGAGTATTGTGTCCAGTTCTGGGCACCGCATTTCAAGAAAGATGTGGAAAAATTGGAGAGGGTCCAGAGAAGAGCAACGAGAATGATTAAAGGTCTAGAGAACATGACCTATGACGGAAGGCTGAAGGAATTGGGTTTGTTTGATAGCAGTTTTCAGGTATCTAAAAGGGTGTCATAAGGAGGAGGGAGAAAACTTGTTCATCTTGGCCTCTGAGGATAGAACAAGAAGCAATGGGCTTAAACTGCAGCAAGGGAGGTTTAGGTTGGACATTAGGAAAAAGTTCCTAACTGTCAGGGTAGTCAAACACTGGAATAAATTGCCCAAGGAGGTTGTGGAATCCCCATCTCTGGAGATATTTAAGAGTAGGTTAGATAAATGTCTATCAGGGATGCTCTAGACAGTATTTGGTCCTGCCATGAGGGCAGGGGACTGGACTCGATAACCTCTCAAGGTCCCTTCAAGTCCTAGTATTCTATGATGCTACATTTGCATGGTTAAGCAACCATACTTAATTTGAGGCCCTCAGCATGCACTGAATATCATTGTGGCCCCCAGGGCTTCCAAAATTGAGTAGCTCTGGTCTAGATGGTGGTTAGTCCTGCCATGAGTACATGAGACTGGACTTGACGACTACTCAGTGGGTCTTCCTGTTCTATGATCCTATTATTCCTTCCTTATCCCCTTGCTCCAGGAGTATGAAGTCTCAGTAAATAGTTACTTCCTCATGCCCTTTCCTACCATTCTTCCGCCATGGTGGCCTATAAAACGACTATGCTACCATAGAAGAAACATCAATATTGGCGGCAGCAGCAGCAGCAAGAGAAAAGGAAAGCAAGCCTTTATGGCCAGTCTCTACAGCCTCTTCATTTTGTCTGATACTTCTTTGAAAACTGTTTACCTGCTTTACTGCCCACCTCACAACAGCTGCCTCTCCATCCCAGAACCAGAAAGAAACAGTCTGTTGCCCCCTCTCCACATAAATTTCTGAAAGACCTATAAACGTCTCCTCCAATGCACAAGCACACTGATTCCAGAAATGGAACAGAAAGAACCAATGTTCCAGCAATGACAGCCTGGCTTTCTGTGTTTCACTTCCCCTACCAAATGAAACACCCTTGCCCTGCCTCCCCACTTTTGCTCCTTTGCCCCTCTCCACTGCGGGCTGGCAGCCATCAGCCTCATGGGGCTGGAGCTGCCCCTACCCGCGGCGTAGGGGCCACTCCAGCCCCACCAAGGCACTCCCCGTTTAATCAGTTAATTAGTTAAACTTAATGTTTAACCAGTTAATGAATTAGAAACTAATTAGAAATGGGATTTTATACCCCTACTTTCAAGGCCCTTTAAGACTTATCTATCATTCACTATCTAGAGGCTGATTTCAGACACCTATGACGACAGCTTCCATTGCCCATTAGCTGAATTTTCAAACAAGTAAGATCATGCTTTCTCCCATGCTGCCTCACAAAAATAGGAGGAGCTCCCGGGTAAATATCTGCAAAACTATCTCGCTATCCCAGCCTTTTTATGTAATGGGAATAGCATCCTCATAAATAACCTTTCCTATCGTCCACCCTTTGGAAGGGATGAACCAATACTTTTCTGTAATTTCTTACACCAGCACAGACTGGGTATGAGGGAAACATTTTTATCTTCATTAGATCATAATTTACTGCATACAATAAACCCTAAAAACTGCAATTAGCTTTTTGTTGTCTGTGTTGCACAGTGTCTAGACCATAACATTCTAAGAAATAATGAATGGTTATTTCTGTGAAGATAAAACCGACCTTCTATTCTGCAGAAAAATATTGTAATGATATAATCTGAAGTTCACTTACTTCCTTGTCCTTGGTCATCTTCATCATTGGGGAAAAGGTCATCCAGAGGTTCTTTGGTAGAATCTGTGTCTTTGTCTTCCTATGCAAACCCCAGCCCAAAACAAAATGTTAACATCATTAAATCTAAAAAACACTGAAGATATTTATATATTGTTATATATAAAAATCTATGTTTAAAGAATATTAAAGATATGCATAGAAGATGTGAGAGACACTGGAAATACTATTAATGCATATGCACAAGACATCTCAAGTCAACCTTAATTCTGGCATTTTCTGAGTTCTTGAGTTCACATTCTTAACATTCTTTTAGCTTTTTTAAATACTATTTCCAAGGTTATTTAGAAAGAAAACAATACACAATCCCTGGGAACCATAACAATTTCTACAAGATTTATCATTAGAGCTTGAACCCAGGATCTTTAAAATTCACAGCATATACTCCTTTAGCTCATATATAAGTAAATAATTTCTCAGTTATCTTATCTATGAAATGAGAGATGGGGGAGATACTTGCCTGTATCCTAAGTTAATCAGTATTGAGCAAGGTCTCATACTACTGTCAAGCGCACAGAATTAATATTACAGATTGAACCTCCGAAATTCGGGACTCTCTGGTCCAGCAACGTCCGTAGTCCAGAACTAGAGAGCCCCAGAGCCTGAGTGTGTGAACCAGCTGAAAGCCCTGGCCAGTGGGGCAGCAGCAGCACTGGTGAATCTTGGCACCAGGGAGCCCCAGCTGGGCGGGATAACAGCAGGAGGGCAGTCAGCAGTAAAAGCAAGGCATTTGGCAAGTTCCGTGCCAGAGATCCCCGGCAGAGCGCAGCAGAAGCTGGGCCGGCAAGCCCTGTCCCCGGGGTGCAGCAGAAGAGGGACAGCTGGCAAGCCCCGTCCCCAGGGATCCCCACAGAGTGCAGCAAAAACGAGGCAGCCAGCAAGTGTCAGTCCCAAGGACTCCCGATCATACAAGGGAGAAGTGGGGCCACAGCGGCTGGGGAGCTCCATCTCCGGTGAGCCCCAGTGGGCTGACTGGAGCCTAGTGGGCTGACTGGAGCTGGATAAATTCATGGAGGTTAGGTCCATAAAAGGCTATTAGCCAGGGGATAAAATGGTATCCTTGGCCTCTGTTTGTCAGAGGCTGGAGAGGGATGGCAGGAGACAAATCGCTTGATCATTGTCTTCGGTCCATCCTCTCTGGGGCACCTGGTGCTGGCTACTGTCAGCAGACAGGATACTGGGCTAGATGGACCTTTGGTCTGACCCAGTACGGCCGTTCTTATGTTTAGTGGCAGGGGGGCCAGAGGGGAGCCAACTGCAGGGAGTAGGAGTGTCCTGGGAGGCTGGTGGCAGGGGCCCTTCCCATAACTGGCAAATTCTCTCATTCGGGAGGGGTCAAGTCCCGAGGGTGCCAGATAAGGGAGATCCAACCTGTAGTAATAAGTTGACCAGAGACTAGAAACTTATTTCAGGGCTGGGCAAAATACAGCCCAGGGGCCAGATCTGGCTCCCTGCGGAGCACCCTGCCAGGTTCCTCAGGCACACATCTGCCACAGGCTTAAAGATCAATTTGGCAGCTCTCTGCTCTGGAGGGAGGAGGAGACTGTGTGTGATTTCCCCACCCTCAGCCCAATCCTCAGCTCCTATTGGCTAGAAACAACCAGCCAATAGAAGCCTAGCGCTTGGCCTTGGGGTGGGAGGCAGCGCAAGTCTCTTCCTGTTCGCAGAACTGAGAGCAACATGGAGGGAACAAGCCTGCAGCTCTAAGAGATCTGAGGCTTCAGCAGGCAGGGAGCCCAGCCTACCTTGGGAGTGCTGACCAGGAGACACTTAGGTAAGCACTTCCCAGTCAGAGACTGTCTGACACCTCTGCCCCTCCCTACCACAACTCCCTCCCCCAGGTCACCTCTGCCCCACCAGCACCCTCTGTGCTCCCCTGCCCCAGGTCAGAACTCCCTCCCAGACCCTGTACTCCCTCCTTCACCCCCTCCCAGACCAAAATCCTCTCCTTCACCCAAACACCCTCTCAGACCCCACACCATCTCCTGCACTCCAGTCCCATACCCCATGTGCCTTTCTGTACACAGTCTCCATCCTAAATCCTGCATCTCATCCACGGAAAAGTGCAGCCCTTGACCACTTTCCAAAATCTTGGAATCCCCCCCCCCACCAAAAATTATTGTCCACCTCTGACTTACTGTCTTCTTCTGGCTCCCAGCCCAGCACTTTTCCATAGGCCCAAAAGGTGATTGCTGCTGCTGCTGTGTTCCATCTGGACCCTCAAGCTCTGTACTACCAGAAAGGCACTCTTTGTGCAGACAGCAGGGTCAGTGGGGCAGAAGCACCCTCCACTCAGGTGGAGGTTGATAGATTTTAGCAATAAGACACTTACAAGATCTACAATTCAGAGGCTTTTAACCCAGTCAGATCTATGTGAATTTTTGTGAGATTAGGAAAAGGGACACTACTGACTTTATACTGTGCACCTGCCAAATTTCTAGTTTTTTCTCCAAAGCATGGAAGTGCTAGCACATTTTATCCTGTCTAAAGATCACCATTCCTTGTTTAGCCTATTCAATTATTGAGGTACAGGCAGTCCCCGACTTACGTCGGATCCGCACTTACGAACGGGGCTTTCTCGCCCCGGAGGTCGAGGTAGCGGATTGCTACCTGCGAGCTTGTGCACCTGCCAAATTTCTAGTTTTTTCTCCAAAGCATGGAAGTGCTAGCACATTTTATCCTGTCTAAAGATCACCATTCCTTGTTTAGCCTATTCAATTATTGAGGTACAGGCAGTCCCCGACTTACGTCGGATCCGCACTTACGAACGGGGCTTTCTCGCCCCGGAGGTCGAGGTAGCGGATTGCTACCTGCGAGCTCCGGGGTGAGAAAGCCCCGTTCGTAAGCTGCTCTGGTGCCCCTGGCCTGCTGGAGACCGTCTCCAGCAGACCAGGGGC